CTCCTTTCTTCCCTTTCCCTTTCCTTCGTCTTCGTCACTCCCAAAATAACTGTCTTGTCGCAGAGATCCCAACCGATTGGCCCTTAATGTGTGTGTGTTCTCGTCCTGTTTATTATGGCGACAGTCCCCCCATTTTTCGTGGTGAGACGTGTACTACACTTTTTAGCCTATGTAGGGTACTACACTTTCAGTGTATTTTTTCGTACAACTACAACCATCCAGGGTCACACAGGAGGGGGCAAACACCATGCATGGCTTTTTTCTTCTTTTTATTATTTTCATGCCCCACCTTCCTCCTGCGGTGCGTTGAAATTTATTTTTATCGCGAGAAGGGTCCAGTCGTCCCTTTCCCCCGTCAACGGTGCTCACGTCGAAGTTTGGTACTCACGAGAGCTTTATAGCTATATTTCGCTTTAACCCGCAATTTTCGTAAGTTTTTACCCCATGGGGATTCGAACTCACGACCTCTGCGACTAGCGGATTACGAGGATAACACTAGGCCACCGGGGCGACCGGTGATCTTTAGTAGAAAGTGGTGAGATACAAATCACGCGTCAGACCTCTGTAGTGTTGTTGCCTTGTCATAGATGTGCTGCTACTCGCAGCTCCTGTGGAACTACAACACGAGCCCACGGATGCTTCAGCATCCAAGAGGAGATCTACCCAATCACCCAATCACCCACTGGACGAGCCACTCCTACACGTTGGGCGACCTCCAGAAGCTCGATTTTTACAGCAAATCTCATAAATAAGACAAAAATTCTGTTAACCCGATTTTGGCCGTGCCAAGCCAATTCACCTCTCTGTTAAACCCGGACTTTCTGTTGAACATCTTATATAAAACCGTAGCAGCTACTGTATAGCAATAGCGTCCTGATGCTCGGATGGTTTCTGCAAATCATATGTGGTAGACACACACGACACACTTACTGCAATCAATACGTCATCCTGGGCCCTTTGCTCATGGATGTCGATGAGGTTAATCCGCGGTTGCCTTTTTGTCAGAAAAAATAGTGACAAAGTGACACACAGCAGGAACAAGCGTAGTCTAACCTTGTGACCATGCTGTAACCCATCCATCACTCAGCACTCACGCGGCGTCATCACGCGAATTTGTGATTTTTCGCCGGTCCTCCGTCCTGCCACCTTTAGCCGACGGCCAGCGCGCACACATGTCGAGCGGCGCTGGCGGAGTTATTGTGCTGTTGTACGTGGTCAAACACAAGTAATCGTTGCGCATATGTAGGGATGGGTTTGGACGTTCCGAGTCTTGTATTTCCTCACCATCAACACACGAACTACGCTTTCAGCTACTACAGCTGTGTATGCATGTCCCACATTATACCATGATACATGACGGCCATCCCGTTACTAGGACAAGGGAAACCTTCACACCAAACCACTTGATAGTGAAACATTAAAGTTAAACTTAACTCGCTCCTATGCATACAAGTCCGCGTTGCAACCACCGAGTTGACGTGACGCCGCAACTCCTGTTCGCCATGATCGGCACTACAAAAATAGCTGACCGTCCTCCGAGAAAACGACTCCGGTGCAACAGCTTACAGGTACAGTGTAACAGCAGTGAGTGGGGATCCACGCCCGAAGGTCGAGGCGAGGCCAGGAGCAGGAGAGAATCAACAATTACTATGCATATGCCCACCATTTCTTTACAGATGAGCGGTATTTGCATCACCTGCTGCTGTATCCACGATTAAGAGACGCCCGCAAGTCGCGTCAAAACCGAGTCACCGCAACCCTCATTCTACAGCCGGCCTCCACGCCGGCACCATGGGCAACGACCAACAGCACACTCACAAACCTCAGCGATTAACGAGGAATACCCGGGTTCTCCTCAGCGCAAGAGGCCAAACTGATGACTTCGCCCAGACGAGGAAGAAGCTCCAGCCCAAATCACAGCAACTCCACGCCACACGTCGTAGTCAGGCCTCGAGATCCCAGCAATCCCCACCGCCACAATCAAGCTTCCTGCACCACTATGGGCGCGAAGCAAGCCCGGACCCACACCCACACCAGCCAGATGCCCGCGAGGGCGATCCCTCTGGACCACAGCACGCTGACCTGCTTCAGTCGTCGGAACGCGCAAGTGGCGATCTCGCCGTAATCGATCCAGCTCTCAAGGGTCTTTCCGTCGGCCTTCTGGAGGTAGCCGCTGAGCCTGTTCACTATTGCCTCGTTAGCACCGGGAAACCCGGCTGTGGTGGCCAGGGACATGAGCGTTTCGGGCTGCAAAAGGGGAAGATAAAGGAGGGGGGGGTGTACTCATAGTCATGCATGCCGTAGTCGATAGACCATTGACCTCGCATCCCTACAAAGCCGGGACGGAGCACGCCGGGTTCTCACCGGACCAGGCTCTCACGTCACCAAGCGCGAAGCGCCGTGAGATACTCGGCGAGTGGCATGAAGGGTGCGCTGCATCCTGCTAAGGGTGTTCGGCATCTTGTGCTTACTTCCTTGCGTACGGATGACAGCCTCGTATGACATATTTTATTTTCTGGTGCTTTCACTTCCAGAGACAGTTGTAAGCACTGTGCAACTGCCTCGAGGGTGCTTGACCATCTTAACACAACCTGGTGCGATCATCCCCCTTGCGCGGAGTGAGGCTTCGCCACCCCGCACGACATATTCTACTCGACCACCATTATGGTTACCGCCAAAAAAAAAAGAGGTGAAAAAAAAAACGGTCACCTGGTTGACGAGTTCACGAAGTGAATTGGCTTGTTTTACAACGTCGTTGCCAAGCGACGAAAACCCAACCCCGATGG